CTGTCCAACAGTGTGGGAGAAGCAGTGATTTATGTGATACATAAAGTATGTTTATTCAGTACGTTTAACTGACTAATTGTAGCAGCTCAAGACATGACACACAAATAAATAGATTCAGTGTGACTTATACTCACAACATCCATAAACTCACTTTGTGAAACTGTAAACAAAAATATAGGCTAAAAAAACAGGGCTGAAGTTGTAGTCCAACTTTGATAGGGAACTGCAGTTCCAATAAACCTCGTTAGAAATAGTACAGAATGACTTGTTCAGCCAGTACATTCAGACATTGTGAAATTCCTTATAAACTCTTTTGACTCCTTCCCGCCTCCTTTCTGCCCACCTGTCCAAAGTGCACAGTGATTGGCCTGTGGTCCTCCAAGGTTCGCAGTGGCGCCTCCCTCCTGACTGCCCCGGTGGACGAGGTGAAGCCCCCTGTGCTGTCATCATCAATGACTGCTGAGCCTGCAGTGGAGAAGCCGTTTTCTGCCTGCTCCTGCAGAGGGGGGACACAGGAAGGTGGAGGTTGATATGGGCGAAAGAAGTGATGGCAATGGTGCGGGAGGGGAAGGGGGAGGGGGAAGCAGGCTGCACGTCGTGGCTGGGGTGGTGGGGTTCAGTTAAGGTTAGTCAGGGTAGTGTTTAAGGTATTTTTAATAAATGAGAGACCAAGAACCGTAACCATCTCTGCTGTTGGAGCTTAAAGCTGCATTAGGTCACTTTTATAAAAATAACTTTAGTGAAAGTTCCATATTTGCTGAAACTTTCACTATATCCTGACAGTAGTACTCGAGACAGATAATCCGTGCTGGGAATGAAACTCAACAATCAACTATCTTCAAGTCACCAACCCTTTTGCAGCTCTGATTGGTTGTTTTCATTTAGGCCCGGTGGATTCTTGTGAAAGTTTCAGCAAATGTGACAAAAAGTGCAGCTTTAAGATTCAAATGTATATATCAGCCTAACAGAGTACCAAAAAAACATGATCCAAAACGGTTTGTCAGCAGTATTGAGCTACATACCTTCTGCTTAAGCCGGCTTTTGACTTCCTTGATACGCATTTTAGCATGGTCCTTAGCCTGTCAGACAAGCAAAGCCAGATCATTTTTTATTTCAAGTAACGATTCATTTTATAGTTTCTAACAGAAGCCAGAGACATGCTTACAAACTTGTAAACGGTCTTCATGGCTGGGTTGGCCTTGGTCTTCACCGTGTTGAAGATAGCCCCGCCCCCTTTCTGTCGAAAAACATTTACACAAAATCTGTTAGTATCAGTACGTACCATATTCAGGTAGCATATTATAAAGGTTTACTCTCAAATAGCAAATGGAAATAGTAAGAGCATGACTAAAGTTCTGAAGCCGCACTAACAGCACCTAGTGGCAGCAGTGTGCACTACAGATGCAAAACAACACTTCTTAGAGGCTCCTAAAGCTACTGAGTGCAGGAAGGAAGGCTTTTCTTAAAAGGGAGCATTCGGTCAGTTTTGTGGCAATCTGGCCAGTAGTTGTTTGGATATTTTCCTATCTCCTACTGTGAGCAGGGCAAAAACAAAGCACACAAACATGCATGCAATATATTCTCTATGGTAATGTGCCATGTGTGTGGCTAATAGCATTGAGACTAGCTCACCTTCACAGTGAACAGCCACTGGTGGTAGGTCTTGTCACTGCCTGTAGAGGGGGAGTCAGAACAACAAAAGGTCAACGACATTAAGTTAGTGGACGCTGGGTACTAGCTGAGGAAGTCTAGCCTGGAATCTAAATTAAAACCACTGTAGTGCAAAAGCAGAGTGCCACTGAGACCCTGGTGTCCCATCTACTAAACTTATGTGCTTCAGCAACAAGGAAGTGCTCCGGCTTTATTGTGTTGTCTTTTAACTTCCCTTCTGCAGTGGGAATGTGTCATGTTGTGTAGGGGGACACAAGCAGCAACTTGTGATCACCTAGCACCTAGATCTTATCAAATATCTGACCCATTTTACAAATTAAAGCACTGACAGAGTGAGAAGAAAATGAGAATTGCTTACAGCAGTCTGACATACATAAACCAGCTCTCCTGGACAGCTCTGGGATCAGCTGTACATCTTACTGTTATAGTAGTTATGGTGACTGGTCTGGATTTTGTTAGTTGCTTTTTTTATTTTTTATTTTTTACAATAGAGGGCACAAGTTTTGATTCTCTATGCCATTCCTGCCCACACAATCTGCTCTGTGCTGCTTGACGATTCTTCAGAGTTGCTGAAGACAGAGTCAGAAGCAAGCTGGGGCTCTTCTGGTGGAATCATAGCGTTGTCTAGAACTGCTGTGATCAGCTCTGGCGCCTGTGTCGCAGCGGGACGGTGCGCTCTGGTGCTTCCATGTCAATGAATCTGACTGATGACCAGTATCACTGCTGACTCACCTGCATATTCGCCCATGTTGATCTCTTCCTCAAAGATGTCACTGAACCCTTCTCCGGAGTTCAACAGGTCCAAACGGCCATCAATGAACTGCAGGTGGAAGCATAGAATGTATAAGAGTGTAAGAGGAAGGGTGAGATAAAGACGTGTTTGTGTGTGTGTGTGTGTGTGTGTGTATGTACACCTGTTTGAAGAGCTGCAGCTGGATGGCATTCAGGAGGAACTGTCTCATGGCACTGGAACGGTGATTGATGAAGGTTTCTTCATTAAACGTTATCGGCTCACCCTAAAAATGCAGGAAACAACACATTCAACAGTTTATATTCAGTGGCCAGAGGTCCTGACCTTTGACCTCGTTAAAATGTTGCTATTGTTGACATTTAAAGTTCCACTTACAGACGTGTTTTACAGTACTATGCTATGATTAATATTTAGTTTACCATGCTTTCCCACATCTACACTTTCTCCCTCACTGTGAAATTCTGGATTTAAGAATCTTTAGGTCCTCAGCCTAAGCATCTTTCCATCCGACTTGGCTCTGATTGGTTGTTTTTGTTCAGATTCTTGCAAATACCATTAGGAGCACTAGGAGGAGCCACAGAGAACCAGATTGATTTCACAGATTATCTGTCTCATGTACTACTGTCAGGTTTCAGCAAATATGACAACTCAAGTGTACTTCGGAAGAGGAATGTGAAAACATCTCACTAGTGACAAAGTTTTAAGACATTTTGGGGGACTTTATGTGTCATGAAAGGATCAATGCCAACTCTATTTTTCTTTGTTCCCTGCATCCTTCCTGTCTGTGGTCTACATTGTGTACTGACCGGCTCAATCTGCAGAGCGTTTCTGTAGCTGCCGAACAGAGCCGCCTGACTCTTGATGAAGGCTCGAGCCACACCGTCCCCAGTTGTTGTTGAAACCTTCTTCAAACGACTTTTTAAAGACGAAACCTGCGGGACACAAAGCTACAGTCTTTAAAACAATATTTTATTGGTTACATCCATATTCAAAACTGGACTGTTTTTAAAAAAATACACTGTGCAGTGTATAGCAGTTCCTCACCACATCATTGGGCAGGCTTTGGAGGTCATCGTAGGGGGTTTCCAGGGTGTTTGTATCCACATTCAGGACCACCACATCATCCAGAGCCAACCCTCTGACTTTCTACAAGTAATAGGAAGAGCATACTGACAGAGTCAACTACAGACACAAAGATACCATTTATAACCTGTCAGCACCAGATCAAGCAGAGTAAACACTGCAATTCTTAGTCTTAAATCTGACAGACACTTACCTCCATCAGGCTGGAATGTACTCCGATGAGGTAGGGCATTGGAGCACTGAAAGAGAAAGTTTCATAGTTACAACATTTATGCCCAAATTAAAAGCTGCGTTATGGAACTTAAACACAGCATCTGTTGACTGAGCGTGTCAAGCTTTGCCTGGTAGATATTAAATCATGGATGTCATACAGTGTTCTCCTGGATATAAAACCATCGTCCCCATCATAGCATGCAGACAAAACAAACTATCTGTGAAAGAAAAAGGGTTCACTGGTATTCGCAAGGATCTATAGATGCTGTATGTATGTACAGTCTTGGTGCCTGTGTATGTTTAGCTGCGTACAAAGTTCCCTTTGTTTAACACAACGGCTAGCACACTCACCAGCAGTAGTCTAATAGATGTTGAGGCAGGACAGGAATGTAAACATGTTGCCAGTGCATTGGATACAACATGGCTGCAGACCCGTGGACACAAGCTGTTAACTGGGGACAAAGACAAACATCAAATACATGCTCAATATAACAAGACAACATATGCACTCATGTAAACAGTTGAACATGCAATTCACTGTAGCAATTCAGGAATAAAAACATGAATAAAAACATGAATAAAACTAAATTTAATATATCCACATTAGAAAATATTAGGAATAAATAATCTAATATATATATCTTATGTTGTACACTGATACAGACCGGTGGTTTCCAGCCTTTACCTACAAAGGGACACCTTTTGTATCATTTCTGAAACTGACAACCCCTGACTCAGTGACATAATATATTCAAACTGTACAATGAACCCAAACAGTGAACTCAGTAACTGCAAGAAGTTTGTGAATTTTGAAGATTATTTTCTTTTTTTTCTTTTACTTCCTATTGTCTGTCTGCATTATGTTTTTTTTATTATCTTTAACAATCATACAGACATAATAAGCCTTAATAAGTCTTTTGGACAAATTCAGTGTTTTTTTTTTGGCCCTGACACTTAATCACCTGTAACCTAAATATCTGATGCTATGCTAAACTGACAGTGAGTGTTAACAGCAAGCTAGCAGCTCGAGGGGCCTACAAATACAGAATTAATTCCTTCAACCTTCATATTAATAGTGTTCCATATAAGCCCCATCCATAGAAGGTAAGTAAGTAACTGGGGGCCACTGCCTAATGTCGTCAGTGCAACTACCCAGGCTGCTGTCACTTTCAGCAGTTACACAGTCACTATGACTTGCACTGCAGTAATGCAGTAACACAAAGCAATCAACAGATTTGTGTATACACAATACAACTCAGGGTTTTTCTTAAAGTAATTCATATTTTCACATTTAAAGGACCAGTGTGTACAATTTAGTGGCATATTTTGGTGTAGCTGAAAATCACAACTCCCTCGATTCACTCTCCCCTTTCAAGTACGAAGGAGAAACTATGGTGGCTGCAAAAAGTGAACACATCTATCGACAGCCAGTTTTGGTTGGTTCGTTCTGGGTTACTTTCAAAAGATGGCGGTTCAACATGGCGGACTCCACCTCTGTAAATAAAAACGGCTCAATCGAAGCTAACAAAAACACAACGATTATTATTTTCAGGTGATTATACACAAATGAAAACATACCTATCAATATTATATTTCATTTCTGACAATAGATCCTCTTAAATGTTCTACACTGGACCTTTAAGATCAGGGAAAAACATCCTGACACCTTAAGGTGCAATATTCAACTAAAGTTTCAAAATTACATTTTAAAGAAAACATTTATCTTAACTCTTTTCATGCTGTGGTTTATAGATTCTAACAGCCCTGCTTTTTTACTGAAAGATTTCAAAGAAACCGGCAGGCAGAGCTGCAGGAGAGAGAAGAAACAGGAAGTGGACTCTACTTACAGTGCTTAGTTTGCTACAGCAGATGAGGATTCGACGTTCATAAAGCATACTAGCGTACAGGTGAAGCATGTTATTGACATCTACTGCTACAAAGTACTCTGTTAGGTTTCTCTGCAAAGGTCAAACACAACAAGAGAAAAACAAGAGAGTTAGTTGTGAAGGTATAGACCATGATTCAGTATGAAAACGATATAAACTGTGATTCATAAAACTCAATACTGCATTCATATATTGTAATACTGTATTTTCATGGAGGCAATGGGCTTCCACATATTTTTGTGCAACTTGTGCAGTGTGATGTAGAAACTTGAAGCCTCCAGTGCTCATCCACTGAGAATGGACTTGACAGTGAAGTAGGAGACATCTTGTGTTCAGCAGGAAAACTTTAGAAATCAATGACATTTGCATATTCAGAGATTCTGGAAGTTTTAATGAGGTAGAGGGAGGAGATGACTTTTTAAGGATTTCAATGTGGAATGTGGAAAACTTTTTGTTGTGAGAAAAACATATCAGACACACGTTATTCTTCCAAGCAGACTGTATATATACGTGTCTAGAGGGGATCTTTAAGCATTTTTCAAGGATAATGTGATACATTTTCCACCCAACGCCATCAGTCTGCAGCTCTATCAGCTCACACTGAAGTCACACACTGAAACTTTAAGCACACATCTAACTGACAAACATTGAACACAGAACCAGATCAGACCAGACTGCTGGAACTAAAAGCTAATTCTGTACTCAACACTGTAACATTTTCCACCCATTATGTCTGATTTATGCACAGAACAAAAACAACTCCTCATTAGCTGTTGTTTTCTATCCTGTGTGCAGTTTCTAATTTACCCGACCCACCCCCAGATATAAATCAACTGTATTAACAGCAAGTTTCTGCTTAGACAAAGGTTTGACTGGGATGTCAGGAGGGAAATTTTAACACTCACATTCTCAGGTATGCTGGGGAGTTCCCCTGTGTCAGGCACAGTGAAGAAAGAATGCTGGAGAAAACAAGAGGATCAGTTATAGTTTGAATCCATCACAGTGTGTGAGATAAATAAAAAGCAATGCAAAGAGAACTCATTTTTTCTCTAGTCCTATCATATAGAGATGCAGGGTGATGTGGAACAACACTGATAAGTGTAGTAATCCTGTAGTGGCAGTATTTTCTGACTCTCAGTGACATTACTGTTCTCTGGGAGGAAAATAAATACTGATGTGATGATTGAAGTCAGACTCACCACACCAAGATGAACGGGGACTCTGGGCTCAGGGATAGGGAGCGTATGTAGTGACACCAGGAGCTCCTGCCATTGGCTTTCCTAAAATATTCAGAAGATCCAAAATACATGAAATGGCCATTACAAAAAAATACTTCATCTCACATAAGAAGCGTAAAAAGTACATTTCATATTGCTATTAAAACTCATATTATCATCAGACAACAGTGTGACTATCACACTGCTGCATCGGTTTATTATCTCTTAGCTGTGCAGCTTGTTGTGAAGAAGCTTAAACAAGAAGACATTTTTAATTTAGCTCAAAAGCAAAATACTAATGAGAGCTGACACCCGCTCAGTAAAGAAACTGGCCCACAAGTTCCTGACTGAAGTCAAGAAACCTCTCCCAACAAGAGGAGTCAGCTGAGTACCTTACCTGTCCTTTGATAGTGTAATCTGCGAGGATATTAAGCAGCTTGTAGAAGACTTCAAACCAGGGCAGGTAGCTGAGGGAACAAAACAGTGTTTTGTATTTTTACAAAGCTGAGCTTTACTCTGAGTTTGTGGGAATGGGATTACTGGCTAATTATGTGAGCCCAGTCGGTTTTCACTCTAAACACGGAGAGGCAATGTGTGATATGTATCTGATTAGTTTTACAGGGCTACCTTTAAAAAGCTCATAGGAGTTAGTATTAAATATCCTTATGCTGTAAATGCTCCACCAAGTCACAAACACTGGAAGTACATAATGTTGGTACTGTAAATGTTGTTTTTTACCATTCAATCATTGTCCTAATATTTCAACTGTTGTTTGTCAACTGGTTTGATTTGCTTCTTTGTTTGTTTTTTGTTTTTTAAATATATTATTTGGGTCTTTTTATGCCTTTATTTGATAGGAGGTGAAGGTTGACAGGAAAGAAGGAGAGAGAGAGGGGGAACAACATGCGGTAAGAACTGAGCCTTCATGGGGTGTGCGCGCTTCCAGGTGAGCACACTGATTTGGCGGTTTTTAATACTGAAAATATACACCAATAAATTCACTGAGCTGATGGCTAAATTTCACAAAAAGTTAGGCTTTGTAGCATAGGTGCCGGCTCTTGCCATAACATTTTTTATTGTGTAACTCAAACGAACCGATCCAATCCAATATTGGTATCGGGTGCCAATATGGACAAATTAGTAATAAATCAGTTCTACATAGATATCTAGTAGTCCCCATAATTTTGGTCTCCCAGAATTCTATAAGTTAGAGCAGTGGTTCCAACCTTTTTCTTTAAAAATCTTCCTTTATTTATCACTAAGTAAACTGAGATATTTCATATTATATTTCATGCATAAGATATCAGATTTATACTTTATTAATCCCCTATTGGGAAATTTCTTTTTTTCCACACACACAGGAACATGCAACAGGGAGAGATGGTGGAGTGATGGGCTGCCACATCATCGGCGCCCATGAGCAGTTTCTTGGGGTTAGGTTGCCTTGCTCAAGGGCCCCTCAGCAGTGCACAGGAGGTGAAA